AAAAAATAAGTAGAAAAAAAAATTGTGTTCACAGAAAATTCTTCTTTTTTATTTAACAAAAGGTGAGGGATCTAAAGATGACATCTCACATGGGCGACAATCAAGTAAATTTTTTTGTGTCAGATTTGTTTGCAATACAACGCCCTATTCTTCAGATTTAAATATAATTATAATTTACGTCATTTCCGGTTCAAGCAAATCATTCACGTTTAGAACCTTGACTTGGTTTTAATTGAGTTGTCACCTAATACATCACGGTCCTTGTTTTTAATTTAGAATCATCACCTAATAGTAATACATCTCTCCAAGCTGCTCCTGACTTGGAGGACTGACTTCTAACCTGATGATAACAAAACCTTGTCGAAACGTTGTACATTTGCTGTTATGTTAAACTTATATTAAAGTTTTTCTTCATTACCCATTCAAGCCTCTCCAGCCATTATTAGTGTCAAAGTGGGTTCCTCGTCATCGAATTTACTTGTAACCTGTTGTAGAGATGTTACGTTGTTCAACAAATATTAAATGGACGACAGTACATGAAACCAATAAGTAATAGTTATGTGTTCCATAAGTAAGGTACCCCTAACTATTTTCTTATTGTTAATTTCTTTAACACTATTGGTTACTTACTAAGTTTAAGAATATCTAATTTCATTACTTTTTAATTTAATATTCTATTATTATACTTCCATTATAAAGATTGTTTTATATTGTTAGCTTAACATGGATATTTAGGTCTAACCTAAATCTTCTAAGTGACCTAACCTCGTGAGGTATTATTGGGTTTACGGCCGAAAATGTCGTTAACAGTGAGACTACCCCACTGATGAAACAATGCATTCTAATCTTTACAAGAAAGAACGTAATAAAAGTATATTTAATTAGCTATACTCAGTACAAGGTTTAAATTTAGTTTTGTTCTAAGTTGGTAGCTTTATCTGATTGGAAGTTAATATTAATGAATTCAATGCACGTGATATTTGTGCGGAAAAGGACTTTGGTAGAAAGGTGGAAAAATATCGTATTAGGATATCAAACATCTAAGTGGAGTTAGTTACATTATAAAATGTTATGTTGTGAGCTGTATTTAGTTGTTTACTAGAGGGAGCTGCTAATTATGATGATGACGCTAGATCTAGAAAGTTCTTAAAACTTGTTCTAGAATACTTAGAAAATTCATGATTATGTAACAAGAGTATTAAAAATTATGAATTTTAAAATGAAGTAGGGATCCTGCTAGAAAAAAGTAATGAAAAAAGTAATAAAAAAACCACAATTACACATTTATAAAATTTAATCCTTACTTTGGCCTACAGATAAGTGTATAAAGCTATTGGAAAAACGAGAGTACGTTATAAATAACAGTAACCAATATGTGAAGATTCAACGAGAATTCGGTGAAGTATGTAGTTTATGATTCAGTTCACTATTTATAGTGAGAGTTATCACGTCTGTTAAATTGATAGATTAGTAAATAAATCATTTACCTGTAAGTAAGTTTATTTGTTAGTTAGATATTGTGCAGTTAGCGAGGAATTTCTATCGAAACGTTGTTTGTGAACTTAGGCCTACGACTTGTACCAGAACTAACGTATCCCGTAGAAACATTATAAAGGAAACATATTACTTCGTAATCGTTACATGAACTGGACTTGGCGTCATTTTTATCAAGTAATTCAAAAGAACACGCCCAACGATGGAAAACATTACAAAATTTATATTGTAAAAAAGGGGATTCCCATATTCATATTGTTGCGTCAGCGAGGTCACGTGACTAGTGTCACGCCACCTGCTTTCTAGAACTATCCCGTTCCTTCGGGAGTGCTCTAGCATTTACTAGATTGGGGGGTGGTCTGGTATATATATAAGATGGTCACGGCGTGACGTGACAACAATGTGTGTAGGTAGTGAGTAACTGATCTGCAGTGAGAAAGTATTGTTGAAGTTAACGTTCGTTATAGCGTTTGTTTTAGCGCGAATGTTGAAATCAAGTGTATCGTGAAGTTATATTCAGAAAGAATAAACCAGTTTTATTAAGTAAGGACTTGTGTCGCTAAAGTTTCGTCTGAACGAAGTTAATGAAAATCAGTTAACGAACGGAGACGTAACAATATCATTCAACAAAATCATGATAACTTTATAATCTGTGTTTTACAAGTTAAGTGATGAATAAAGGGGTTTTTTGTGTGTTAAGATTCATAATGTTCTTCTTTTTTTTACGACATACTTGAAAAATAAAAGGTATTTTTTATTTTGTAGCCTGTAACGCTTACATTTTTATTTTTAAAACTTTTTAAATGTTTTAAAACGTCACTAACAGGATGATAATATTAATATAACATTCCGAGATTTATTAGCGTATTTGCATAATAATGAAATATCAAATTATTATATCAGCCCCTTGGTGGCTCAGCGATAAGTTTTAAGACTTTTAACTCTAAAAATCGGGTTTTGATACCCGTGGTGGGCAGAGTACAGATAGCCCATTGTGTAGCTTTATGCCTAACAAAAAACAACGAAATCTTATACCCCATAATTTTCTTTCAAGAACAGGTAAAACGTATATTACTTGTTAATCTGTTTATAAAAGTACAAAACATAGGCCTATGTTTGTGTTAGTTTAATACGCGTTACATTTAAAAGTAAGATCAAAAGAAAATCACAACTGGACAGGAATATAGTGGTTATCAAGAAAATAATATTAATATATAAGCCGTCAAGATAATTACATGCATATTAATACAAACTGATGATATGTAGTTTATATAAAACATAAAAATTCCAAGATCTTAAAACACGTAACTTCAGTTACCATACAGCAGTGTTTGTATAAACTGTTTTTTCTTTTAGCTAGTTTGTTTGTTTTGAAGTTAAGCACAAAGCTACACGGTAGGCTTTCTGTGCTCTACCCCCCAGTGGTACAGTGGTATGTCTGTGGACTTACAACGCTAGAATCCGGGTTTCGATACCCGTGGTGGGCAAAGCACGGCTAGCCCATTGTGTAGCTTTGTGCTTAATTACAAAATACAATCTGTGCTCTGCCTATCACGGGTATCGAAACCCGGTTTCTAGCGTTGAAAGTTCGCAGACATACCACTGTGCCACTGGAGAGGAGGGGGGGGGGGTCTTTTAGTTCTGTTTAAACGATTGTGTTTACAGAAACATTTGTCTCTCTCTCTTTTTTTGTGTGTGTGTTACGAATCAAAACAGTTACCAGCATTTCTGACCGAAAGAAATATTATATTCATTAATCTCTTTTTCGAGATAATATACAAAAACTGCCGTCAAAGGGAACAGTCACGTGACTAAAACAATCTTGGTTGGATAGAAATACTGAACGGCTTTCCACTGACAGGTCAGTCTGTTGTTATTCAAACAGAAATGGCCTCTCTTTACGTTTTGTGTTTTTAACTCATCACACGGCGTGGATTTAACACGAGAGACTTTCCCGTTATCAGTCTTTGCTATATCTAACATACCACTTTACAGAGAAACATCCAGATATTTCTATAATTGATAAAAACGGGATAAACTGTTTTGTTTATAAATATCAAATTGATTACGGAAAGAAGTTGAAGTCACAGTTTTTTTTTGAAAGCATAAATTTGTTTTCGTGCATGGCTTCGAAACAAAGGGTTTTTTGTTTTCGGCGTAATGCTATACAAATAGACTACCTGCGCTCTCTCCAACGGGGAGAATCTAACCCCGGATTTTAGCTTTGTAAGTCTGCAAACTTACCGCTGTCCCACCAGGGGCTTTGGTTTGGTTATTGTTAAGCAAAAAAAAAAAAAAAACTTAACAATGGGCTATTTTTGCTGTGCATACCACGGGTATCGAAACCCAATTTTTAGCGTTGTAAGTCAACAGACTTACGCTGAGCTACTGGGGGTGACCAAGCTGGAAAAATAGAAAATAACCTAAAGTTAAACGATACCTTCATCTTAAAAATGATAAAAAGATAAATGTAAATGAGTTACTTAAAATAAATTAAACTTCGAATTAATTGTTATTACTTTGATGTGTAAAATAGCTTATTACTGACTTGATCGTAAATCAAACTTCTTAGTACATGCAGGATTTATTCTTATTCCGAAAAATATATATAAATGTCACGAGCTAAGAGATGTTTATAAGCGAACTCTTTAAGAAAATGGCGCAGAGACTAAAAAAATTCGTATTTCATATTATATCCTCAACTACGATCTTCAGAATGGAAGATAACGATAAGAAAAAAAAAAGGAAGCAACCGCCAAAATGTGTTTATCGTTTATAAAAAGCCTAAGGACATGGGTTGTACTGTGTGTTTTACAGACTTGCCTGTGTTGGAAATTACCGCCACCTAACGGTTGCGTAGGAGAATATATCTGTAAAACTAGAGTTTAAGAGTTCAGATTCCGCTTGCGCACGTACACGGTCTGGCGGATACAGATAACAACATCCACTTTTTGCGTGCGTGTTAAGTCTACTTTCTTATTTCCATAATATATCTGTCATTGTATTGAAATTTAAAAATGAAATAAAATCAGATTATCGAAAACAAAACAGGATAACTTCGAACCTAGGTGAGCAGTGTTCTACTAAACACGTTAGTTACGGAAACCATGTGTTGGCGAAAAAAGTGTAATGCCCATCTGCTGATGTTGGCAGTATGGTTAAGCCTAGATGTCATTTCTCACGTGGTAGCCGTCGTAGATGATACAGAAATTGCTTTTATGCCTTGGGATCAAGCTAACGAAGCTTTTTTAGACGACAATACATTTTTATATCAAACATTTGGAGATTCCGGCCGGTTTCATACAGAACCGTAAGTACGACGTGCCTAGCGGTTAAGCCATATTTAAAGATTAAGGTTTTACTTTTACTTTTAGAGCAGCTTGGAAGTAACCTTTAGGTTATTATTACCTAAGCCTAAGAGTAAACTAAGACTAAAAGTAAAAGTATCTGCTGTTTGCAGCGGAACACCTTTAGTATATTTTACAAAGAAAATATAAGTGTAATTTGTGGCAGTCAGTAGCATAGGCGACACTTGCAATAAAAATATTAATAATTAAAAGAAAACTTAATTATGATTAATATATCGGATTTATACATCTTTAGCTCAAAGTTTCGACGCCCATTCTGTACAGTGTACAGCACACTAACCAAGACTAACCAACCAAAATGCACCAAGTTGTTTTCTTTTAGTTTTAGCTGCCTTACAGCTATTTTAATACTCTGTAGTTCGGACTCGAACACAAACATTAATTATTCCACGATATATGGATAATAATTATTATTATCATTATACATGTATAAATATATTGTACTTGTAGTGTTTATTGTAGCACAAGACGGTATATTGTGTGCCCGCTACCTACTAAATTAAGATGAAGATGTAATCTTTTTCAAAGTTGTGTTGTTTTTTTTAGAGTTTCCAGTTTGGACGAACGTTCACTTATGAAAACATAACAATTAATAAAATTTTATAAATCTAAACAATCTAATTGGATGTTTATGAACATATGGATAAGTTACACAACCTGTTTATTAAAATTTGGAGGCAGGTTTCAGGAAAACGTGAAATTAACAAAGCTATATTTTTAAAAGGTAAGCAATAAAACTGTTTGAGTTGGGCTACAAGATCTTCAAAACTGCATGGTTGTATTTCTTTAGTTATTTAATTATTAAATTTTAAAATAGGAAAGGTTCTTTTAGACCACCCTGTACTTTTAAAGTCACGTAACTTCCAGGTATTCTCTTGCTGAGAATAAGAATTATGTACTGGCGCTACATAACACTTGGAATCGTGTAATCGGAAGGAAATCGAGATTAAACTTGTTTTACATACATTTACTTCGCTGTCGGCACACGCACACATCTGTTAGATAAATCAATGTAATGACAGATAATGAGGCGAAGAAAAATACCTAATACCTAACAACAATGATCAAATGCTTCAGACGGGATTCTGGAAAAGAAAAGCACGAGAGAAGGAAGGAACTTGTACAGACATAAGGTTTTTTTGTGTGATAAAAGTGTGCTAGTATGTGTAACATTTCTTACCTATTTCTTTACAGATCAATTCTGTGTCAGCCTCCTTTAATAACGATAATAAATAACGATCGTACAGTTTAATTGCACCTTATAGAGGGGTGAAACCAGGACTTTAGTAGCACTGCCTATAAATATGAGCTGCTCTTCTGGTTCCATCACTTCGTATGTTTTTAGTTTTGTACCTAAGTATGAGCTGCTCTTCTGGTTCCATCACTTCGTATGTCTTTAGTTTTGTACCTAAGTATGAGCTGCTCTTCTGGTTCCATCACTTCGTATGTCTTTAGTTTTGTACCTAAGTATGAGCTGCTCTTCTGGTTCCATCACTTCCTATGTCTTTAGTTTTGTACCTTAGTATGAGCTGCTCTTCTGGTTCCATCATTTCGTATGTCTTTAGTTTTGTACCTAAGTATGAGCTGCTCTTCTGGTTCCATCACTTCCTATGTCTTTAGTTTTGTACCTAAGTATGAGCTGCTCTTCTGGTTCCACCACTTCGTATGTCTTATTCTTATATTTTACTTGTTTTCTATGTACTACAGGAAGCTTCTAGAAGTTGCGTCGTCATTATGTCACGAAAAGCTTCCTCTATCAAACAAACATCTAAATTAAAATGTTAAAAACAGAGATTACAGCAATATGTACATATCAATATTTAACTATCATTTACCAGTTTTCGTTTTGTTGTTATGATCTTATCGAATAATCTTTGTGTAACACAAGTTAAAGTTAAAGGTAATCTTTCTACTTCACCTTACAGATAGTAATTATTTCAAGTCGGTCTGTATTGATTGTCATCCTAGCCATGCAAAACTGCAAATGATATAAAAAAAAGAGAAAATAATTAAAATTTTGATCTCATTATTTAATGTAGTAGCTACTAACCTTTGTTCCTAACTGGTCCAGGTCGTCCGCACCAAATTCAAAGAAAAAGAAAAAAAAGAAGTACTTTATAAGTTGTACGTGTGTTGATAATAAGTTAAAACTGTTTTCTTTATAATTCGTTGCAAAATAACTTTCACTCCAAAACAGGCTAAGATATATTGTTATAAACTATATTTTTAATGTTTTAACTAGATGTTTGCTAGAGGGAGCTGGTGTCCATAATGATGACGTTAAGCTAGGCCTAGAAAGCTTTAAAGATTTGATATCTGGTTTTTCTAGTGCATTTAAGGGTTGAGTATAAATACGGGGCCAGAGAAGCATTGAAGATAATTGAAGGATAGTTAAGAGATACGGGGCCAGAGAAGCATTGAAGATAATTGAAGGATAG